GGAATTTGATTTGGAAAAGCTTCCTTGCAAACATGCACTTGCAGCAGCGAAATTTAAAGGAATATCTTGTTAAAATTTGTGCTCACCTTATTATACCAGTGCTAGTTGGAAACAAGCATATGCTGAATGTATATATCCAGTGGCAAGTGAGGCTGACTGGGAAATCTCCAATCAACCAAAGGTGTTACCACCCTTTTCGAATCGACGACAAAGTGGACGTCAAAAAATCGTCGAATTCCATCAAAAGGAGAGGGAAAAAAGACTCGTAAATATAGTAGGTGTGGCCAGAGGGGCCATAATCGTCTGACTTACAAAATGCTCTACACTAGTTGACAGATGCATAGAACTTTTTTTGTTTAACATAATCTTGAAATTATAATAGATTATGATGATTTTTGATATATTGTGATAGTTGTCTGACAAAGTATGATAGCTACTTCAGACAGATTTTTGATAAATATGACAGCATCACAATTTGTTCAGACCAAAACGGCATCAGGTCGTTTTAAATGTATGGGTGCTATGTCTACTAATTTCGTGTTCATTTTTGTTCATTCACGTTTGTTACGGACGGTTGGATGTTAATCATTTATTTAATCTTTACATTATGATATATTTTGATCAATTATAATAGACTTGTAAGTCAGATTATAATAAAAATGACAGCAGCACTGTTTGTTTAGCCAAAACGGCAGCTGGACGTTTCAAACTTATGGGCGACGTTTCTACTCATTTTGTGTCCATTTGGTGCAATGACGCTCGTAAGCACTTGAAAATTGAAGGATGAAGGTTCGAATTACATTTCGCCTTTACGATCGATGCATTTGTCCGAACTATAGTGAGTTTCTCTATAGTTTCACTGACTAAACTACACTCCGCTTGACAATGAAGAACAACCTAAGGGGAAAGTGTGGTATGAAAATCATAGCACATGGAGTCGTTCAACGTGTCCCGGAAGTGTATCATGTCCCAAACATCGTTGCGCTACTTTTGGAGTGAAACTGGTACCTCCGAACCCAAAATGGCAGCTGGGCGTTTCAAACTTATGGGCGACGTTTCTACTCATTTCGTGTCCATTTGGTGCAATGAAACTCGTAAGCACTTGAAAATTGAAGGACGAAGGTTCGAATTACATTTCGCCTTTACGATCGATGCATTTATCTGAACTATAGTGAGTTTCTCTATAGTCCCACCGACTACACTACACTACACTCCGCTTGACAATGAAGAACAACCTAAGGAGAAAGTGTGGTATGAAAATCATAGCACGTGGAGTCGTTCAACGTGTCCCGGACGTGTATCATATCCCAAACATCGTTGCGCTACTTTCGGAGTGAAATCGGTACCTCCGGACCCAAAACGGCAGTTGGGCTTTCAAACGTATAGGCGACGTTTCTACTCATTTCGTGTCCATTTGGTGCAATGAAACTTGTAAGCACTTGAAAATTGAAGGACGAAGGTTCGAATTACATTTCGCCTTTACAATGCATTTGTCCGAACTATAGTGAGTTTCTCTATAGTTTCACCGACTACACTACACTCCGCTTGACAATGAAGAACAACCTAAGGGGAAAGTGTGGTATGAAAATCATAGCACATGTAGCCGTTCAACGTGTCCTGGACGTGTATCATGTCCCAAACATTGTTGCGCTACTTTCGGAGTGAAACCGGTACCTCCGGACCCAAAACGGCAGCTGAGCGTTTCAAACATATAGGCAACATTTCTACTCATTTCGTGTCCATTTGATGCAATGAAACTCGTAAGCACTTGAAAATTGAAGGACGAAGGTTCAAATTACATTTCGTCGTTACAATCGACGCATTTGTCCGAACTATAGTGAGTTTCTCTATAGTCCCACCGACTACACTACACTACACTCCGCTTAACAATGAAGAACAACCTAAGGAGAAAGTGTGGTATGCAAATCATAGCACGTGTAGTCGTTCAACGTGTCCTGAACGTGTATCATGTCCCAAACATCGTTGCGCTACTTTCGGAGTGAAATCGGTACCTCCGGACCCAAAAGGGCAGCTAGGTGTTTGAAACGTATGGTTGTAGTTTAAGGTTTAGCTTATGAGGCTTAGGGTATAGGGTTTAAACCTATACTACAATTTTTCGACGTACAGTGTTTTTAAGATATTTCAACACTAATTCACTAGTTTTGGAGTGAATTCGAGACTCCTTGACCCAAAACGACATATTGACGTTTTACTCTTATGGGTGCCATTTAATGTATACGGTATACAAAAAATCACGTGTATTCATTCAGTACATGCGATCTTGCTACAAGTATGACTGCCATTTAGGACACACAAACCATAGCACATTTTGGTGCACTTTAGGAGAACACTTTAGTCGTATGACCCAAACGGCATGTTGTCGTTTTAAACACAGAACTGTCGTTTTTCATATAATAGTCTATTTTTCAACACCGTATAGATAAAGTTATGACAAACTGCATCTTCCTTTCAACCATGTTTGCTTCAAAATTTGAATGAAACATCCTATAATGAAAATAATATAATTTGTAAAAAATATTGATCAACATAAAAAAAAAAAAAACCATCATGTACACAAATCTGACTTGAAAATCAACATTCAAAGATACTAGACAAATCTAATTGATCAGCATCCAAATCTGAGTACACAAAATCAACATCCATAAATTTCATAGTAAGATTGATGAATATCCAAAACTGACTAGACAAAAATCAGCATCCGTGCACATGTTTTCTAACTACATCATTTCAAAACTACCATGTAGACAAAAATAGCATAAGAGTTCTCAATCTTCTAACCACATAAACGTGCAAAATATACCAAAAAAAAAACATTTATGGATCGAAATGCATAGCAAAAACTTCAGCGGCTAGTTTCTTCCTCCAACTGTCAATCATATATCGGACATAAGTTTCACGGCTAATCCCACCAATAAAAGCTCTATGAACTTGATAACGTATATCCCACAATCTCCCCTGCGAATACATATTTGTCATAATAAATATATGCACTCTCAAAATAAGTGAAAATCTAAAAAATTTTAAAGATAGATTATTTACGCATTGTTTTGTTGTGGAACGTCTGTATGTCGACGCCATAGAAACTGCTCGTGTGGGTAGTTTTCCCCGAATAACAAACTTTCCTTCATCATTCTAGGAATCACCTTCACAATTGGACGCATGATTTTTTGCAATTTTTCAAAATAAGTCAAACTCTTCATGCTGTCATATACATATATAGTTCGTTCGGCAAAGTCCATTTTAAGTGCAATCCAGTGCTTCATTTTCACATTACAGGGAATATACAACGATGTACAAGAATCTCATCGCTTGCTCCATTCTGGATTTTTACCATATATATATCTTGTCATATTTTTCATCCATTTAAAGTCTTCTACTGGATTTTTTCTTTCTTATGCAGCTCAAAATCTTCAAACCTCTTGGTGCACATGGTAGTAAAAGCACAATCCAAAATTGCACAATCTTGTGGGAACACAATAGGATATGTATGTATTCGTGCCCTCATCAACAACAACGCTATGCCAATGTGCTGCAGATGTATAAAGCCGTTTAAGAATGAAATGAAGTATGAGAAAAATATAGAATGCTAAAGTACTTACATCACTGTCGAGCCATCCAAATTGCTTCTGAATTTCAAGAAAGAAACTTTTTGACTTCATGAACATCATCATGTCCACATGTTCACTGCATAAAACAAATAACATAAGAACATATATTACAACTTCACAAAAATAATTAACGTAAGAATAGTTACCTGTTAGGTGTATTAACCAACCAATTCTGTAAGTCATCTGCCTTAGCCGGATCTAGCTCTCGAAATGGGTCAAATGTGTTTACATTGTGAAGCTTCCTCCTCTTCTCTGAATTTGTGAACGGAGATTCAAGAACAAGTGACCTTTTCTTGATTCTCATCCCACACCCAATCTGACTTGACTTATCAGACTCATCTTCCACCACTATAGGGATGGACTCCATTACATCACCATGTGCTATAGAATCCATCGGTACACAAGTATCTCTCTCTTCCACACGAGTTTCATCATCATTCGACAAATCTGTTGATTGCCTTTGCTCATTTTCGACTTCAATGGGATTTGAACAGTTATTCATATCATCTGTTTGTTTTTGTTCATTGCCATCTGCGGGCAACGTTGCTTCTTTTACAATAATTGGTTCATTTGCCAACACATAATCTTCCACTTCTCTCTCCTCATTGCCATCTTGATTCTCATCATTTTGAACTTCTACATGTATAAGTGGATTCTCATTTACATCACATGCTTCTCCAGTATTCATAAATCCACTACGAAGAGGAGAGTGATATGTGTAAGGTGTTGTTGACGGGTTAGAATTCTTCATCCACTCCACAACAGATGATATCTTCTCATCAATTTGTCTACAAAAGGATGTAACACAATCAAACATTTGGTCTATGTAAGATCATCTCATCATCCGCCCTTCATTTTTCCTCTCTAAAATCTCTACCATCTGTAGTAATTGCATTCTCAATTCCTGAGCGAACTTATCTCTAGATGGATACAGAGATGGATATGGTGTAGATGGTCCCGGATGAAATGTACGAGCATCTGTAGAAGTAGGTGGCCTATGAAAAGAAGATGGATCCCGAGGAGATGTAGAGGCATTAGGAGAGTGGCAAGTTTGCTGAGGAAGATCAACACGAATGGACGAATCTGTTACATTCTCCTTATCCACAAAGATATCAATTATTGGATCCTCTACTTTATCCTCGAATCGATGAATCTCTGTCCAATATGCTTTGGAAGCCTCTTCCGGCGTATGTTTCAGTGTGCAATGAACAACAATCTATATGAAAAATGAGAGGCACACTTAGTTGTTATAAAGTACACTACATATTTTGATGTACGTTTAAAATTTACTTACATTTGGTTTGTCCATATTTGTACCAATATCCTTGTAGTTAGGCATTTCAGAAGAATTCCATCGACATATTCTGGGGAGGTCAGTCTCATGTAGATTCTCACCATATCTCCGTCCAATAGATGGTATGGCTTCATAAGCCCAAATCTGCATAAGATGCAAAATAATACAATCTAAACAAAATGAATAATAAATTATAATTTTAAAAGCATTACCTACAAGACGAGTGGAAATCCATAAATTGAATATAGATATTTCTCATTATTTATCAAGTATGACTTCACCAATGATTTCCAGTCTCTCGTGAATACATCAATTGTGCGGGCAAACGCCTTTCTCCCCCAAGGATAACTATTAAAAGCATGTAGGTCATCAACCATTGACAAGTGTTCTACATTTATGTATGTGTAGCTTTCTTTGGGCAGTAGTACCGTTTCCAAAATATATACAAGCCTAATCTTGTACTTGTCTTCCATGCGCACTTTGCGACTTTCAATAGCTTCCTTCAAATTATGCACCGTTATGCCTTTCTTATACTTTTTAAAGTGTTTCTTCACCAATCTATTATTAGTCACATTATGGGGCTCCAACGAAGGCTCCTCACTAGCTCTCAACCCCGTTATCAATGAGAACTCGTATAATGAAAATCGTGTTGGCTTACCTCCAATTGAAAACCAGATCTCATTCTGTTTTTTTTTTGTTACAATCATTCTCAATACAAGTTGGTGGATTAGCTGTGCTGAAAAAGGTATGCGCTTCATTCGATATAGTTGTCCAAAACAAGATTCCATCAGCATTTCTTGATGAACATCATCTAACATCTCCCGAACATAGTCAAGTTTTTGAAGGGAAGACTTCTGCGAAGGCTTGCCTTTAATTCTATGTTCAGTGGGAATCACATAATCAATTGAGCATTCCATTTCTGTAATGAAAAAATAAAACAATCATGCTGAGTTATCAGAATTACAAAAACGACAGGGTGACATTTTCAGAATTGCATAAACAGCTGGGTAACATTTTCAAAAAAAAAAAAATCTAATTACTGCAAGTTTGAAAACAATCTGTCAGTTTTTGAACAATAATTATTACATACAAATTTCAAAAAAAAGAAAACAAAAAAACACAAAAAAAAGGAGGAGGAGGAGGAGGAAGAAGAAAAAGGGGGCATTACAATTCGTCATATTCTTTCAATTTTTTTTATCGTATCCTTCATATTTTCAAGCAATACTCAATTACGAGGTTCAACTGAGTTTGATTTAAATAAGATCAATCCAATGCATTTAGATTATGTTCTTAACCTAACAAATATACTTTAATTTTCCATCAATTCAGGTATGAATTTTTTATATTTATCATAGATCTTGGAATTTCTCCTTTCTCCACCTACCAGCCCCCATTTTATATATAAAAAATAGACAAATAAAACAATAATGGAACCGGCCATTTGATCAACTTGTGGAAGCATTGCGATTTAGATGCCAAATTATTCTCTGATCACTTTTAGATTAACTTTAACAGATTCTAAGAGAATAGAGAAACGTAGATACAGACCTATTGTCAAGGACCGCAGCTTTACTTAGCCCCTTGACACTATCGCAGCCGCAGTTTGCCCAACTTCGGCCGCACATTGTAAATATTACTTCAAGTTTGAGTTGTAATTTTCGTTTCATTGTAATAGTTATTTTAATTGTAAAATAGCTCTGATATTGGTAAAAGATTAGTATGATTCCTCGTCTTTTAAACGTCTACTCCCGTCACTTGGGTTTTTGTTCAAAATGCTATTATAGGGGGTATTAGTCATTCAAAAATCTTTCAAACTCACTGGTGTCTGCCCCCTGCACCAGCATTTGTAATTTTCTGCTTTCATCAATTGTAATGTTCAGTTTTCATCAATCAATGTTCAATTTACTTTCAATGTATTCAAATTCTCAATTGTAAGCTTTCTACAAAATTGCAATCAAATTTTCTTTCGTCCCGACGCGACCGAGAAAAGGCGGAAGGTAGTCTAGCGGAGCAGACTACTGCCACACGGTGTCCCTTTCTGTGCCAAGAAGAAA